AGCGTCATATGCAATGGAATTACAAAGACCCCGTCCCACTGACACTGAATGGACAAAGCATGTTCGTGTTGGGAAGTAAAAACCTCGCAAACGTCAAAAGAATCAGCTTAAAATGAAAAGCTACCGATAAAAACGATTGATTTTTTGACTTTATTCTTGATTCCTGCCAAGATTAAGCCTACAGGTCAAAAAGAGTAGCTCACCAAAAGTTGGTATGGTGTACTTGAAACACTTAAAGGTGAAAGATGTTCTGAAACCTAGTTTAAAAATGCATTTCACTCGGAGAACTTTTGTTACACCTTTTGCCTGCAGTGAGCAACAAATGTTGAAAGAGGCTTATTCAGACGTTGTTAAAAATCGTAGCTGAAGTGAATAGCTTACTGATTTTGTAACTGATGCGCATCCGTTACCTTAGGCAGTACACGAAACGGGCTGCGACAAAAGCTGACAAATTCAAAAGAAATAGCACAATTTAAGGCCATAAGAAATTAGGAGAAAATGGATGAGCAAAGCCGACATTACAACAGGAGGATAGGGCAGCAACGAAATTTTGGCAAAATGTCGGAAAAGTCAGATTTGTTGTTGGACTACTAAATTGGAACAGCGCCTCGACTTGATGTTCTGAATTTAATATGACAGTGAGGTGTCTTAACTTCTAAAGGAATCCCTTAAAGAGTAATGAATGCACGGGTTATGACACAGCAGCTGATTTTTGTGAGGATCATGGTGGTAAACTTCCGTCAATACTCAGCAAAGAGGAGAGTAAGTTATATTAAACTGTTTACTAGAAGTAACCTTCTGTGATAAATCTACCAGTTAAAACTGCTTTAAGCAATAATTTTTTGAAGTTTTTTAGAATTATTTGAAATAATGCGTTTTGCATGAAAGTGTCTATGGCGAATTATAGATAAATTTTGAAAAAGAGTTTACCTTACAGACAATATACTGTCTTGCATCTCAACTTATGGTTTTTGGAGCGGCCACGAAAAAGTTAATGGGAGTTGGAGGTGGTTGGATGGGAACAAATCCAACCTAACGTTCTGGAAAAGTGGTCATCCTGGCATCAACGGAAGACATATCAAGGTGAACAAAGATGGCGAGTGGGTATCAGTCAGTGATGGGGAGTGTGCGGAAGCCATTTGCATTATTAGAGGTTCAATATTTATTATTTCTAGAGTCGAACGAAGATCCCTTAAGAAAAAGGGGAAGCAGAATTGGTGACCGAAAACCGCAAATGTGCCTGAAATAGTACTGAAGAGAAAACATTAACAGTAAATGCTTACGTATCTGACCTGATTAAAATAAGAAAGTTCTTGAATTGAAAAAATTTTGAAAGCACATTTTTGATTTCAAGGTTTATGGGGCAAACATCGTCTTCGGACTGTTAACTTGATTCAGAAAACCAGAAAATCCAACTGTTTCAAAAATAAAGAAGTAATTTTTTTTTTTCAGCAGAAGACGAAGGCGAAAGGCGATGCGCAGATCCTAAAGGCCCATCTAACGAGAGGTGTTACAACGACGTTTGTTTTTTATGTATAAAAATCCTTGATTCTTGCCATTCTTGCAGCAGATCATTTATTAGTTTTACATAAAATTTTGACTGGAAAATTTTAACGAATACCACGCTTTAAACGTGAAAAATTCTCCACACTGTGAGAACAGTGGGATTTTAAAAACAAAATGCTGTTGAGAAAACTAACAAGTGGACAATTTCAGCCCCCTCGCGACAAACAGGCATATCGTAAGGCCAATTCCCTAAATTTAACCGTGATGATGAGCAGCTAGAAAATCTTAGGGCTATCAGGAAATTGTTAACTTATCGTAGTTTACCTATGGAAAAAAAGCATTGTTAAAAGAATTTTAGTTAAATATTTAAAATTGAACATTAAAAAAAAAAAAA